GACTCGCTCACTACAACAAAAGATCGACCATCACCAGCAGGGAAATCCAAACTGCCGTTCGACTTCTGTTACCCGGTGAGCTCGCCAAGCACGCCGTTTCCGAAGGAACAAAGGCCGTCACCAAATACACCAGCTCCAAATAAGCTGTGTGTCGAAAGAGTGAAAACAGTCTTTTCATACAACTAAATCAAAGCGAAAAATAGAAAAAATGTCCTCCAGCCCCCTACCCCCAAACTGTCAACAAACACCCTTGTCTATAGAGAAAAATTGAAAAGATGTATAGCTATAGTTATAGCGTTTGAAAATGAGTTTTGTGTATGTAGAGGCTATTCAGTATACTGTTATCACAAATCACACCTTACACCCTACCGATCAACCCTAAACCCCATGAAATTTACAAATTTTTGCCCCACTGCCCCAAAATCGTTTTTCTATCACTGAATTCTGTTGTGTAGGCTACTATTGAATTTTCTGCAGTCGTACGACTGTTTCAAGTTAAGAAATGTGAGGGCCTCTCATAGGTCCGCGCTCGCGCCATACGTTTACAATGGCAAGCGATAAAGCTAGTGAAGTGGGTCAAATTAAAACCTTTCCCCTTGCCTTATTTTGAAAATTTAACCAATTTTGACTATTGGGAAAGATGTCTTAGGCTCAAAACCCCATTTCAACGCGAAAGAAGGATTTTGAACGTATCAGGTATTTGGTCAAATTCGTAAAATCAAATGTGAGGGCCTCTCATAGGTCCGCGCGCGGCATTCATATAGTCAGGCTAAAAATTTTCGAATCATTATTCAGTTTACGTTACAAGTGTAACTCTAAGGAGGACGACATCAAAAACTTTGAAAATTGGTTTGAATTTGGGACTGGTTCTGATCCCTATAAGGGGGTGAGATATACCATTGAAAGGGCAACTAGACTCCCCCAGTATAACCAACAGCCGGGTACCAGAATCACCATCTTCGGCGTCCCATACGAGATGGACACAAAGTACGTCCTCTCGAAAATAAACCAGTACTGTGTGGCCAATAAGATCATCCGCTGTACATATAGAGATCATCCATTTATGTACAACGGAGTCTGTTTCATTTACACTAAAAAGGTAGATAACCCCATACCATCCAACCTTACCATTCAAGGATGTAGATTGGGGGTAAAATATGAAGGACAGCCCCAGCCTGATAGGAAGTGCTATGTCTGTCAAGTTGAAGGACATACTGCCAGGGACTGCCCTTCTAGACCACCACCACCCCCTATCTCACCCATCACTGACAAAGAGGGGTCGGGTGCCTTTCAAGTTTACAATCCTCGTAAGAAAGCCCCGAATCAAATTTCCAAATCGGTGGGAGATCTCCTCAAAACTATTAGGAACACCTCTACGCCCATTCAGTCCAATAAAAACAATCTGGACACACCGGCTACTCCTGGCTGGGTACCGGATGAAGCTGAATGGGAAAACGTAGAGGAAAGTGACTATGATAAAAGTAAAGAGGAGATCGCTCAGCGATCGAGTCTCATAGCCAGCACATCCAAAGCGCCAATACCCAAAGCCCCGAAAGACAAACGTTCAACCCTCCAAGACACGCCCCTATCCTCCAGATCCAACTCTAAAGATAGGAAAAGGGATAGGGACAGGAGTAGCCTACTCGAAGATCATAAAAAACACAAGATAGCCACTCATGAAACATCTGAGAGTAGAGAATCGAGTACCAGTATGGATCCCTCGAACTATACTACTAGAGGGAAGGCTACTCAAAAAAAGAATAAATAGATGTCGTTAACCATTATAAATAATAACAAACAACATAAAAAAAAAAAAACAAGTAATATTATTAACAACAATTTATAATGATTTTTACAACATTAAATATCTGTAGAGGTTTTCTACATAAATATCACCAAATTTTGAAAGACTATAAAACATCGGATGTGATCAGCCTGCAGGAAACAGGAATTGTCTCTGATGAGACAATCACTGATATTGAAAACACTACTCCTTACAGACTGATCACATCCAATGGACCGAATCTAA